GCTCTACAACTCCCTGAAAGGAGGCTGAAGGGAGCTGGGGGGTGGGCGAGAGGAAAGGGGCTAAGTTTTGCAACGGGAGGTTTCCATTATATCTTAGGAAGAATTTGTTCCCTGGCAGAGTGGTGAGGCCTTGGCCCAGGCTGCCCAGGGAGGGGGGGTAATCCCCATCCCTGGAGGGGTTCAGAAAACATGTGGCCGTGGCACCTGGGGACACGTCTGAGTGCTCATGGCAGTGTTGGGTTGACCGTTGGACTCGATCCAACCTTAATGATTTATGATCCCTTCTCCTGCTCCAGGCTGCCTCCAGCACCCCCACATGTGGCCTCCAGCTGTGGCCTGCAGCCATTCCTCACCCTGGCCCCTTGCCCTGGTCTGTGGCCATCCCTCAGGCTGGGCTCAGGCCAGGCACCAGCCAGGCAGCTGAAGGGACAAGTCTGAGTCCAGCTGCAGCTCGGGCTGCTGGGGGAAGCGGGCACTGCCCTCCTGTGCTCAAGGCATGGCCAGCCAGGTCCCTTGCCTGGAGCAGGGCATTCATCCTGGAGGTGCACCAACACCAACCTCAGCTCATGCCAACCTCGAGCAGCGAGGGCACGGCTCAGAGCTCTTGCCAAAACACATTAAGCAACATCCTGTAACAATGGCCCCGTAATAAGTGTATGTTATTACATTAATTACTTACAAGAGGGTGGGCAGGTTTCCCTCAAGATCTCGTCCGTGTGACGACAGGAGGCATCAACGTTTTGCTTTCACCCTGACTGAGCCCACAGCTCCTCGTGCCTAAAACCACCACGGGGACAGAGGAATTGCTGCCCCCCAGACCAACGGGTTGTATAAATTCTGGTAAAATGGGTCCTTAGTACCACTTGTGACTATTCTTTCCCTCCCAGACGTGGCATTCACTTCTGATTAAACTCACTCTCACACGAACACAGAGGCTGTACCGAAGCTGCTCACGTTGTTCCAGTCTTCAGCTTTCCTGCCAAGGTCTTTTCCGTGCAGAAAAAGAAGTAAAATTTTTATATTCAATCAGATTAAACAAAGCTCCTGGAATATAAAATGAAATTATCAGAGGAGTTGGTTTTAAATCAACGGTGTTGTCACAGAACAGCAAAGTCTGGCAGAGTTCTTACCTCTCGACTTGGTTTCCGTTCAGGGTTTTGGAAAGCAAAGGGAGCCCAGCACCATTCCTGTCTCTGAAGAAATCCAGTTTTAAGGACTCTTCTGCTGCCAAACAAAGAACTCCTGCAATTCCTGCTAATAAATGGACTTTCTCAGAAAAGAGTTGGCCTGATTCTGGTACAATTACTTCCAGGAATCTGGAGTTTTAAGGAATACAGTTAAGGGAGGGCTCTGGGAACTGAGAGCTTCTAGGAGAGGACTTAGTGGAATAAACCAAGGTGATTTCTTGAACAAAAATGACCATTGCCTTTAAAAAAAGCTTCTCCTTTTTCTTTAACGAGCTCTTTTGCTTAAATGAGCTCAGTGCAGTTCTAGCCAGCCTACTTCTATTACCATTTGAGGATAAAGCTTCAGGCTGAATAAAATACCCATTTACTAACACCTGAGAAAGTGCCGATTTTCATATAAAGAGCCTGAACTTTGGCCCTTTGCTGAAGGGCATCAGAGCTCTGTCTGCTGGAAAACCCCAGCCTCTGAAGGAAGTCAAGAGTCCACGCCACGCTTCCAAGAAAATGTGAAAAATGTGAGGGGGGAATGAGAACTTTCCATTTCAGAGAGCTGAAAGGACTGCCTCCCCTCCTCAGGAGCCTCTGCCCCGGCTCCACACCCTGCCCTGCCCCAGCCTGAGCAGCACCAAGCCCAAACTCCACGGCTGGAAGGAGGTGAACAGAGAAAGCAAAGCCAGAGCCAACAGCTTTGGGTCTCCAGAGCCAGACTTGGCCATCACCTGGCCCAGACCTGACAGCGCTGAAGGTGCCTCCCCGCTCTGCTCATAAAAAAAACCCTTACAAACATCTTACCAAGATTTAATGTACATTTATTCTTAACACGTGGAACATATAGTATAAAGATTTCATACTGAATAAATGATATTCATTAAGCCAAAAAAGGAAAAAAGGGAGGAATTTACATCAAGTTTTTAGCTACATCGTCTGAAATACAAATATGCAGAATTCATCACTGAAAAATCTCAATTGTGTTTCTTCATCAGGAACTTCAACTGAACCTAGAACTTTTTCACACCTCGATTAGAAAGAAAACAAAAACAAAACAAAACCAAAAAAAAAAAACAGGAAAAAAAAAAAAAAACTATAAGTTGATTGGCTGCTGAGACAGCAATGACTTTATACACAGAGACCTGTACAGCATCCTCCAGGAAGGGATGTCTGGCAAGAGATTAAATAATTGTGTCTCGCTTTTGCAGGTCATCAACTCGTTAACTCGTCATACTAGAAAGGGGCAGGGGGAGGGGGACAAAACTGCCGGGGGTCTGGGGGTATGTGCAATGTACAACGTCAGAGATATATACACACGTGGCAGCGCTCGGGCCGCGCCTAAAGTTAAAACCAGTTCTAAGAGGTGATCTCAGGGTTATTCATACAATCAAGGAGGAAGAGAGAAAGAGGTCAGGGTGTTGTAGGTTCACACATGATACTTTGGGGGAAAAGCCTTTTTTTTTTTTTTTTTTTCTCCTCAACATTAACTAAAAACATTTTTAAAAACTACAGCTTGCTGCGTGTCAGATTCTTTTTTTGTTTTATCTTTTCTCTTTTTTTTTCCTCTTTTTCCCATGTGAGACGTTATTACAGTATGTTTACAGTTTAAGGTGTACAGTACATGAAGTTCTACACGCTACTGCACAGGCCTCCCCCTTGGACAAGGTCTGTTCACAACCGGTTAAACTTCTTGGTTCCTGCAAGATTGTGAATGTACAACGATAAACCACACAGAGAGTTCAGCAGTCGCTTGTGTCCTTCAGAGTTTACCATTAAAAACAGTTAGGAAAGTGGTGCCTGTCAATGTGATAACACGGCCAAGTCGTTTGTTTTTTTTTTTTTTTCCCCAAACTCACTGTAAACGACAGTAACTTTGGTTAAAATAAAAAAAAAAAAAAAAAAAAAAGTCTTCAATGTAGACAGAACTTTTGTCTCCTTTAATAAGGGATTCGGGACAAATTTGAAGGGGAAGGGGAGAGGGAACGGGGAGATCTTTTCCCCCAAGGGAGAAGCAGGACAGCGCAGGGCAGACAGTGGATTTCTGAGGTGGTTTTGCATAAATAAAGGGCAACAGTCAGTTTCTAAGGTCTCCACTCACGCACACGCACACGGGGGCTCGGATCCCACAGCTGTCATGACTGGCCAATTAAAAACAGTACGTCACAAATCACTTGTGAAACCAAAGAGTTCATCAAAGGCGACACGGAGATGTCCAACAGCCGCGACTCGTAGAGCGTGAACTCCGAGTGGTTCTCGTCCACCTTGGCCAGGGCCAGCAGCGCCCGGGCGGCTCGGCGCATCATGTCCACGCTCGTCGACTCGAAGGGCGGGTTCTGCATGTGCATCAAGCCTGCCTGGCTCTGCTGGAACTGCGTGGCGGCCAGGCTGTCCTCCAAAAAGCCCAGCAAGTTGCCAATGCTGCCCTTCTGCACAGCAATCGCTCTTGCTGCCAGGCTGTCCCCCTGTGCCAAGTTGGCCAGTAGTACCACGGCCATCTCTCGGCACACCGGGTTCTTTCTGTCACTGAGGAACCGCACCATGGTGCTGTACAGCTTCTCCAGGCGACTGAAGGGGGGAGTCGCCAGAATCAAATCCACGTTGTTGTCCTGGATGCTGAGCTTGCTGAGCGTTTCCAAAACCAGTCTCTGAGGGGAGAGGACCGCGTTGGGTCCCAGCGTCGGGAAGGGATCCTGGGCCTCTGCCGACGGACATACTGCCCAGTGGAGGAGCCCATCCAGGATAGGCAAACAGATGCTTTCTGGGTAAGGGGAGAGGTCCAGCTGGCCAGAAATGTTGGCCAGCGTGACCAGTGTGTTTTCACGCAGCATCTCCAAGCAGTCCCACCACCACTCCACCTTGTTGCAGCTCACCCCTTGGTCCTGCTCCTCCTCCTTCTCGTAGGTCAGGGGCGCCTGTTTGCGTTCGGGATGCTTGTGGTGTAAGAGGATCAGTTTCCCTAGGATCAGCAGCAGCCCGGGGTGTTTGGACATTTCAAAGTCATTGCCCGGCACGAACGATAAACTCCTGATGATGTTGGAGACGCAGATGCAGCGCTTGGCCAGAGAGTCCTGCCAGTCCAGGAGGGTGCAGAGGGGCGTCTCGTCTTTACTGTGAGGTTCGTCCTCCAGAATTTTTATATTTCTGTGGCTCTGAGCTGGACTGATGCCAAAGGGAAACTTGCCGCTTTCCTTCGCCGTTTCCAGCGGTTTCACCTCTTCCTCCTCTCCCGGCAGGGAGCCCGGGCGTGCCGAGAGCATGTCGTCCATGGTGGCGGTTATCCTCTTCTCCGAGGAGCTGTCGGGTGGAGGGCTCTCTCCTTCCCTGGCGCTCGGGTTGCTCTCTGCTGCTGACCGTTTCCTCGAGCCGGAGCTGCAGGGAGCCCGTTTGTGAGCCGAAGGCAGCTCCGCCTTGCTCTCGAAGTGGGTCTGGATGTGCTCCGTGGTGTCCCCGCCGCCGATCCGCCAGTGCAGCAGCCCGCTCTCGAACTCCTGCACTCGCCCCAGCTTGTCTGAATAATCCACCACAAAGGGGTCGTTCTTCTGCACGACCTTCACTGGAAGCTTGTCGAATTTGCTGACTAGTTTCTCCTCGCTGCTCTCTAGAGGTACTTTGTCTTTGCTCGAGAACGCGGCCTCCTCCTCTTCCTCGTCCTCTTCTTCCTCCTCACCGTTCAGGCTCCGGGGTTCCTCATCCTCCTCTCCTTCTTCGTGAGAGGAAGCTGAAGATTTGCAGAACCTTTCAGGATCTAATAGTGTTCTTTGCCCTGGGTCTCCCACCTCGTATTCCTTCAGGATTCCAAAGATCTCGATCAGGCAGCGCCGGAAATACTCCACCAAGAGCTCCAGCAAGCCTGGCAGCTACGAGGGAGGAGACAAAGAGGAGGGGAAGGAAGGAAGGGAACAGTGATCAGAAAACAGCTTTAGGCCAACACGAGCGCCTGGGAAAGCAGGGCATAAAGGGCTAAGAATTTAAGTGGTGCTGTTAATTAATCAGTTCTTTTCATGCTGGCAATAAACTCTGCAAAAGAGCCTTCCATCCTCTGAGAACAGGAACAAAGACAAAGCCAGACACAGCTGCTGGGATTCAAGCCACCCTCCTCCACACCCCATACCTGTGTGAACACACACGTGCTCTCGGCTGTGCCTCCCCTCTGGTCACTACACAGGGAAAGGAGAGGGCTCCAGGCTTCCACAGCGCCCTCGCTGCAAAGCCCCCCGTGGCCTCCCTGCCTCTGTTCCAGAGGCACCACGTCTCACCAGAGACAACACACATGCTTACACACCAACCAGGGTATCAACGACATGGGGCAGGGACCACCACACAGCCATCCATACCCCAGGCTCTCTTCCCACCTAGTGTGCTCCACAGGTACCTCCAGGACTCCAGCCCTACAGGGGCCTGAGCTCTTTGTGGCTCTCTCATCGACAGAAACCCCTAGGAAATTAGCACTTCAAAGACCTGCATCAGAGAGAGCATCTGCACCCACCTGGCTGAGGTTGAAGGTCATTATGCTGTTGTCATCATAGAGCAGGATGTTTATGGTATCTAAGGCCCACGTACTTTCAGCTAGCAGCCCAGACTTCAGAGACATCATCACTCTCCAGGCTTCAGGAGTTCCTGTAACATAAACACATGATACTTCCAGCTCCTGGCGTTTCAAAACAAAAAGGGAGATACCCGATACTGCTTTTTTTGGACCCGTGAGGAGCAGAGCCTGCTTAAGGTGATGTACAGACTACATGCACCAGCCACCTCTCTGCAGACAATGCCAGAGTGACGTGCGAGAACACAGCTAACCTGCCAGATACCACTTTTAGAGCCAGCAGAGCCCATGCCCTCGGTGTTACCATCCCTAAAGCAGGACCTGTGCCCTCGACAGGCCCCAGCAGAGATCAGCAGCTCCCTCTTACCGATATCTTTTGCCGTCAGCCGTCTCCTCTGCTTCAGCACAGGTTGCGTGGCTTCCACGGACCCCGGCGGGAAGGTGATGTCTCGTCGGATCATGGGAGGCTGAACAGCTGCTGGTGTTATGTGGGAGGCAGGGACCGGCGGCCCCGCCTTCTGCATTTTCATCCCCGAGTGCAGGAAGGGAGATTTACTGGGAGAAGTGCGATTCTCCAGAGGTCTGGGCAGAGGCGCCGGGCTGGATACCTGAGGAATGTGATTCTGCATGCTGGGGGGGGTCTGGTAGTTAGACTGGGGGG